ACAACCAACATCAACACGTGCACAGTCAGTGGGGTTTAAAATCCTCCTTCATTGTGGTTTCAGCAGCAGAGGAGACGTTGGTGACCATGGAGGGAGGAGAGCTTTCCCACAGTCCCTGACCCGGCATCCCTCCCGCGTGGGACCCATCCTGCTCCCCTTCACAGGCCCTTTGACAATTGCACCTTTCCACGAGGGGTTTCCAGGCGTTGCTCAGTCCGTAACCTTTGTGTGCTTCCTGCAGAACAAGCTCTTAAATTGTACTTTATCAAAAAGGCCCAGAAATTTGATAGGGGAGATGAGAAGATGGGCACGATCAGGGAGGATAATACTGAGGAACTGTCACTTCGCTGGCTCTAGCTTTGTTGGCCCTCCTGCTTTCTGAGATAAAGACACAGCAGCTGGCCTGATGCTGTATCAAAAGGCTGATTTGATTGCTTGATTATATATGAAATATAGATTTAAAGCTTAACTTATGTTCCCAAAAGCGAATCAGTCACAGGGGAAAACCTGACACATTTGTTATGATCTCTAAAGAGCTTTGCTGGGCTTGTTGATGCTCATAGTGGCTGGAGGGGCTTTAAAAAGCTGTTTGGATCCAGTTCACTGAAATCTTACCTGGTCAGAGTTTATTTATAAATTTATTAATAACAAGATAGGGTGGGAATAGTTTTCTCTCTGCTCTCCTTCTACCCCTGAGCTTCAGGAGCTGCCTCTAAGGGAGTCAAATCTTCTTTGATCTGTCAGAAAGGGAAAGAGGCAGAAAAAGTCCCAGAGGTCCCATCTGGAAAGGCTCTGATTTAGCCAAGTGCTTCAATTCGTCTGAAGACAACCTTCTTCAGCTCCTTGGGTAAATGTTTTGCTGGATCTGCTGCTTTAGGCTTTGTTCCTGGCAATCAGAGTATGTGAGACCTAAAGTAAAGCTGCTCTAATGTGACTGAATGTTATTGGTACCCACACGAGCTCTTGGAGAACAACTTGAGGCATCACTGTGGGTACTGTAGGAAGAGAAGCTGTGGCTGCCCCATCCCTGGCAGTGTTCAAGGCCAGGTTGGATGGGGCTTGGAGCAAGCTGCTCTAGTGGAAGGTGTCCCTGCCTGTGGCAGGGGTTGGAGCTGGAGGAGCTTTAAGGTCTCTTCCAACCCAAACCTGTCTGTGATGAAAGCACAGTTCAGGGGCTGTGGACCTTTGTCATATCCACTGCCCCTCACTGTGTGTTTGCCAGGCTCGCACCATCCTGCCTCTGGGGCTTGTCTTGTCACGGATGACACACACATGCTCACACAAAGAAAACCCTGGCAATCTCTTTCTGCAAAAGCCTCGCTGCTTCCAGGGGGAAGGAGTGCAAAGTAATTTGATGCCTTCATTATCTTCATAACATGAACCAATTTGTCAGCAAACTACTGTGCGGCTTGATTCCCGATTGCGGAGAAAACCAGGCTGGGAGAGAGGACGATTATTTGCACCTAGTTTGAGCATTGTTCTTTTTCAGAGGGGTATAAATACACTGTGTAGAGCTGGCTCATTAGAAACTTATCCGTTTGTATTTATGGTTTAATTAAATAACTGCAGGGGAAGACTTGGGTTTCTAATCACAAGAACAATAACGGGTTTGCCCTCCTTACGGCGGCTTGTCTGAGGAAGGCTTTGTAGGCACCAGTGCATTTAACCTGTCAGCTCCCAGCCCTTGATGGGGAGAAGAAAATAAAACCTTTAGGCTGCATTGTACAGATGGGGGGACCTGGTTACCGGTTATCCTGGTTACTGACTTCTTGTGAGAACACTTGGTTTTCTGCCTGAGAAGCAGGGCTGGGAGGGTGGTGTGAGTCATGGCAGCTCTTTGCCTCTAAAGAGAGAATCCCCTACAGAGCCTCGTAAGAGCCACTTTCACCTCCCTTCTTGGTTTATTACAAATTCCAGGCTTAGACCAGCTTTGCAGTTACCATGAGTCTTGTTTTGGGTTATATTTTTGTAGATATGGGAGAGGTTTGCTTGTCATGGCTTTGATTTTAACCTAGAGGGGAAGGATGCAATGGACTGGGTATGATTCCTCTGGATGAGCCCCTGCACAGTGTCCTGGGGGTGACCTTCTATGGGGCAGGGGCTGCCTGCTGTGCTAGGTGTAGGGCAGATGAGAGGTGGGTTGCAACCCACCAGCAAAGCTGCAGCCAAGGTGGCTAACCCTCTGCCCGTCTCTGAAGATGATCCCTAGTCTGGTGTTAATGTTCTGTTCTAGTGTTGTCTTCAGACATAGCAAACCCTGTAGGATTCTTACCACCCCATGTTTCCCATTATAACAATTCCACAAAAGGTTTGCTTTGAGTTTTTGATGGGGGAGAGTCTATGTCATGGCTCTGAGTGGAGGTGAGCATAAAGGTAGGCTTTCTGTGTCTGCCCACTCCTTCACCTCTTGCATTATCTCACCTCTGTGATCTTGAGCTGGACAGAGCACAGAAGGGTGGGTGAGATCTTCAGACATCCATCGCTAGGCAGTGCTTTCCCTTTAAGGCTGAATTTTCCCTCTAAAAAGTTGGGGGAAACCTAAAGAAGCTGCCTGTTGCTTGGAGAATAGAGAGGAGGAGCTCTTTGACATGGTATTTTGTTATTTCTAATTCCTATGGTAGTTGCTGTTTTTATTTCTTACTCTCTTCCATGTTTAATGTGGTCCCTTAAATTGTCTAAGCTCCTTTTTCTTCAACTCGGTTAAATCAGATTCCCCGTACCCTGAAATATAAAATACATGGAGGTTTTCTCTAAAGCATCGTTTATGCATATAATTCCCTCTCTGCATTCCTGTGCTGGAGTCAAGCGCTGCATATCTGATTGGGCTCTTAATGACTTTTGGGAATCATTTAAATATCTAGCTGACTAGCCCAGTTAATAATCAAAGCCGCAGCTCCTTGAAGCAGGAATGACTCATGGAGGAAGAAGAAAGCTTCTGGTGATTTTGCAGCCTCCTCCTGCCCATCACCGCAGTGCAGCTCCGAAGGGCACGGTGCTATCAGATGTTCCCAGGCAAGGTGCACCCGTTCTCTGCTGCTCTCCGCACACGTGCAGGTGGTGCAGGCTGCCAGCTCGGCTCCCGAACATCTGCTGCCTGCGCATCCCGCTGCCGGGAGCTCGCTGGAGCTTGGAGGCGAAGCGGATCAGGGGCAAATTCGGTGTTTGAATTGCAGATGTTTCAGGGGGGTGATGGGGTGGGGGGGTGACATAACCCTCACGTTTTGCACTGGGGATAGGACCGGTGCTGGTGGCGCTATCTGTGAATGGATCGGGAAACAGTGAACACTGGGATTTGCCTCTGGGATTGCTGATCTAATTCACTGCGTCCTTCCCCAAATGACTGCTACTCTACCTGTTGGAGCCAGTCCAGAGGAGGCTACAAACATGCTCCAAGGGCTGAAGCAGCTCTGCTCTGGAGCCAGGCTGAGAGAGCTGGGCTGGGTCAGGCTGGAGAAGGGAAGGCTCCTGAAGGGGAGACCTTAGAGCAGCTCCAGTGCCTAAAGGGGCTCCAGGAAACCTGGAGAGGGGCTTTGGACAAGGGCCTGTAGGGACAGGCCAAGGGGAATGGCTTTAACCTGCCGGAGGGGAGACTGAGATGAGCTCTTAGGCAGAAGCTCTTCCCTGTGAGGGTGCTGAGGCGCTGGCACAGGGTGCCCAGAGAAGCTGTGGCTGCCCCATCCCTGGGTTACTCTCACACGCTGCTCCTGCTGGCTGTACTGGAGGCAGACAAATCCCTTCTTTAGTGATGGGAAAACAGTAATTAGTATATGTTTCCTCTTCTCTTGCACCCCAGGGTCACTCTGCTGAGCACTAGCACAATGTTAGGACTACCTTTGGCATCTCTGTGTTCTCTTCTGTGTCCTGAACAGCAGTATTCACTGACACATGCTGCTTCTCTGATTTATGAATCAAGATATATTTCACCAGAGAGAATGAGTGCCCGGGGGAGGAGAGTAGGGCTTTGATCTGACTGTGCTTTTGAAATGTGACTGGAAAATCAGAATTAGATGGTAATCTCTTTGGGGCAGGGACATCTTTGTTTGCCCTGTACAGTGCCTACCGTGCTTTGGGTGCCATGTTATCGACAGCAGAGGTTGAGTAATGAGTGATGCTCCCAAACTATCTGTTGACCCAGCCATTGAGCAGCTGTTCTCATCCTATAATTAATAGTGTGCTTTGATTTCTTTTCCCTGCTTCTCATCTCTGTAGTAACTGGACTTTGCTGGGCTCTTGGATCGTAGGTGGGATGGATCTGCTGCCCAGCCTTTGACTGGGGTTTTATGCTGTGGCCAGCTCTGCATGTGCTATGTGAGCTCATCCATCCTGGTGGGACACTGGCACAGGCTGCCCAGAGAAGCTTGGTTGTTAATTCCCTGCCCTGTATCAAAGGTTTTCAGTGGGGACAGCGCAGCAGGTGATGCTCTGTCTGCATCCCTCCATAACTGCTCTTTCCTCAGCTCCCAAAGCAGCACTGTGCATAATGGTTTCACCAAGCCTTTGTTGTCACTGGTACTAAAAAATCCTGGTTTAATTTATAACCATTTCATTTGAGGGGGAAACTTGCCTTGTCATTACAGAGAAAGAGGAAGGAAAGGATGCTCGAGGTGTGATAGTTGTGATTCCTCAATAAGTAATGGGGTTTGATGTTAAGGGCTTCTATTTCCTATACTGTGTATGTGGCTTTTCTTTGTAAGGTGAAGATGTGCTTTCTGTGTTCTGTACCTGGTGGCTCAGACTTGAGACAGTGACTTCCATAGTCTCAACAGTTGCGTTGTATGGCTTTGGGATCCAGGGCTGCCCCTCTCCAGGACACCCTGTTGCAGCGGAGAGGCTCTTCACCTTGAAGAGAGAGAAGAGGATGGGCTTTCAGATTGTTTGAACTGAACTGGCTGTGAAATGCAGTCCTTGTGGAAACTCCTTAAAGAGGTTTGTTTCCCTATCTGTCGTGGTGAGATGCAGGAGCACTTTTGAGCGATTCTGCTTTCCTAAGAGTAAATTGGGGTTGAGAGAGAGGCAGAAAAGATGCCTTTTTTGAGACCCATCAAGCTATGAGTTAAAGCTGAGGTACACTTGGGTGATGTCTCCAGCTCAGTTGCCTCTAGGTGCTTTGCTCTGAAATAGGACATGATGTGTCTCATTTCAGGTGGGCTACTGAGCTGCGTCCTGCAATACTCCCCTAATTGTCTTGATTCTCCAGCTGCAAAGATCCATTAGCACAGACAGAAGTTTCTTGCCTTCCCAGCCAGGGAGAAAAAGGCAAAGGAGGTATGGAAGGGAGGGGGGAGAGCTCAGAAGGAGACTTTGCTGGCAGATGACTGCAGTGAATCTCACAGCCCCATTTAGCACATCCATCTTTCCAGAGTAGCTGATGGCACATGTGAAATGCAGCAAGTCCTGGGGCTATTGTGTAACTTGGGGGATGCCTGCAGCCGCTGCTCATAATTAATCATTTAAGCACCAGTAAAATCAAGTGACTTTCCTGACGGTACCCAAACTGCTGACCTCAATGCATTTCAAAAGTTCGCTGGATGCTGAACCTCGGATGACCCATGGATGGATCTGGAATAATAATTTTCATAATCCTCAAGTCATTATCTTAAGAGGGAATGTATTGTTCTCCTAATTAAGTCCATCCACACACTGTGCAGCTTCCCATGCAAATGCACTGTGCATAAACTAATTAAAAGAAATATACAGCCACAAGGACTTAAACTGCCTTTCATGCAATCTCTTTAAATTAGAAGGAGTCTCCCTCCTCCCCCCCTCACACACACACTCTAACAAGGGATTCGGCACCATATTCAGCAGGGAAAACCACCGAGCATTTTGGATCAGAATCTGGAATTCCCCAAAATTTATTAGAAAGCTTTTGTTTTATGACATTTTTGCGAGGGCCCTGGATGTGTAGAAGACCCAAATTAAGTGAGAGTTATGATCATTTAATAGGAGACAGTCCCTGCCCTAAAGAGCTCACAGCCTAAACAGACAAGACAGCCAAGAGCTGGAAGAGCCTTTTTAGCAGTTAAACAGCTCAGGCATTGAGGAGTTGAATGACTTTTTCAAGGTCATGCATACAGAGCTGGGAACTGGAGGCAGACCTGGACCAGCAGTGGATGTACCCGAGTCTCCTGCCTTTAGCAATACACCTAAAAGATGTGATCTGTAGAAACTTCTTTAATGCAACAACACTGAAGGGCAATTTCCCAGTGGAACTGAAGGGTGTTTGGTTAACTGGGGGCTGGCTGTTGGACTGCTTGGCTGTATTCAGTAGTTATTTCCTGTTCTCAGTGTGGTGGAGGCTGTGCCACTGGAAAGCAATGGGCTGGAAGCCTCTATTTGTGTTTGGTTGTGGCAAGGATGTGAATGAAGCAAGTTGAAGCTTCATTCATTTATTGTCAGGGTCAGCCTTCCTGCTGTAATTTCCCTCGAGAATACTGCTGACATTGCCTTGGGCTTCTGCTTTGCAGAAGAGGAGTGGAATGTGTCTTGGATGTGTCCTTCTTGCTGGTTTCACTCCTCATGTAGGATGACTGGTGTCTGCAGGTATGCCAGAGCACTGTGGTGTTACTGCTTGTTCTCCTCCTGTAGGAAATCAACAGCAACTTCAGTATTGTGTCTAAATATAGATAATATATGTTCAAACATATCATCCTAGTCTCCACGATGATAGCAGGGATAGGTGTCGGTACATCTTAACGTGCTAGATTGGGGGTAGCCTAAACCAGTGGGTGTGCCAGCAAAAGGTAACTTGGGTTTTTGCCTTGCTCAAACTTTCTCCCACAAATACCTTGCTTGGCTGCTGCGGTTATGAGATACTCCAGACAAAGCCCGGCGCGTGTGAGATGGGGCAACAACTTTGTAAACTGAATCTGAGTTTAATGATGGAGCATCTCGGTGTTTTCACCGGTCTGAGTGGTCTTCAGAACGTTGGTGGTACAGAGATTGGCATTTGCAAATCTCGCATGATGGTGAACCTGCTGTGCACAAAGACCATGAATGACAGGTCACAGGTCACATAGCAAAGGAGCAGTTTGTGAGCAGTCTGATCTGAGCAAAGTACCCACACAAAGAAGATGGTATTTCGCCGAGGTGAACTGAGTCAATGCAGCCATGCCCACCGACAAGGGAGGACACGGCAGCAACCATGCAGCTTTGATCCACAGGTTGGAATAGTGTCAGCTAGATGCTAGATGAAGATGGGCTGTGTAGCTCACAGCCCTGCAGAAGCCTTTAAGTTCTGCCAAACAGACAGTAGTTGGTGCCTGCATCGTCTGAACGAGTGACATCTGCAATTATTGAGGCAATAGAGGAGCAAGTTGCAGAAACAGCACATTAGTGTGTGAATGCCATCCACAGGGGGACTAGTCCAGGGAGAAGTGGCAACCAAGCCATCAACAGCCTGGCCATGGCTGGATAGGAATTTGCACACGAGTTTTGGGAAAACAGAGGATTTCCTCGCTGTTGTTTGTAGTGGGTGTTTATAGGTGCAAAGTGGAAGAGGAAATTTCCTCAGCCTGGTCTTGATTACTGTCTCATTTTGCATGTGGCAGGTTTCCTGGCAGCATCCCTACCAATGCAGCAGTCATTGGAAAAGGAGGGTGGCAAAGAGCTGGGATCCACCCGGAGGCCCCTGCAGCATGGGTTCAGAACCGGAGCGAACAGGCAGTTCTCTTATCTGATGTAGCCTGGAGAGCAGACAGATAGGACTGCAGCAATCAGTATGATGGGAATGTGGTGGGTGGACTCTACCAAGAGAAAAGAAACCCTCCCCTCTATGGATGAGCCTTCATCTCTGTTTCCCCTCTCCAGTCCTCATTCCGGTAAGAGGGAGGATCTTTTCCCCATCTAGCAATGAGATGAAAGAGTGCCCCCCATTTGACACTTCATGAGTTGGCTGAACCTACAAAATGATCTTCATAAAATCCTGATTCCAAAGCATCAAAGCCTTTTCCTGACTGGTAAAAACCCTAAAAATTCCTGGAAGAACTGCCAAAGGGCAATGGGGCTGATTCTGTCAACTGCCTTTGGTTAGAGCTGGGTTTGGTTATTTATGGGGGCTGGGGGAGGCAAGAACTTTCCAGATGGGCGGCTGAACCAAATATAACAATGATAAAAATCAATGCAGTTATGTGAAGGGAAAAGAATGCCTGTGCTGAAGGGCTGCTTGAGGCACACGCTTCTCTGTGTGAGACATCCCTCAGCACCGTGCTACTTGTGGCATCCCACCCTGTGCTGCTCCATCCCTGTGTGCTGCACAGGCACCTCCTCCGTGCCTGCTGAAAGGCAGCCTTTGCTGGGAGGATGCTGGCTGGATTTAGTGGTGCAAAATCATCTGGGTTCTCAAGTCATCCTGAAGTATTAATTCTGATTGCTGAGAGCCCTGTTGGTGTGTGTGGCATTGCACAGAGCGAAAACTCTGTCCCTTCTCCAAAGGCATCGCAGTCTAGGCATACATGGCAGGAGAAAGCATAAGAAAGGCAAAGCATATGGGATTGGGACTGATTGTTAGACCTTTGTATGCATCCAAGAATAGAGGAGGATTCAGTAATTCCTTCAAGAAGGAAGCTTGCTTGCCATCTACTTAGTGAAGAAGCATGCTGAGTGGTGCAAGTGGGAAGATGGCTGGGAGTCAGGACTGTGTGGGAGACATGAAATATCTGCTGAGAAAGGAAATCTGCTGGAGAGGGTTGGAGTTGGTGACTGCAAACTGCCTTTTGGCTGAGAGTGCCATTGGGTTTCCTATGTTAGTGAAGTTTGGGATGCCTGCATGGGCTGTTAATTATCCAGTCCATTATCAGCACTTTCTTTGTGTGATCTTTGTTTTTGGAGGTGTCCCCTGGTGGAAACCCCTCAGTACTGTCATGGAAAGGATATGTAAGAAATTGTCCCTTGGGCAATGCTTTCTTTCTACTGGGTCCTTTTCTACTTCTTTCACTCCGGTATTTGTACTCTCAGCCTCACCTGCTGACCAATACGCATTTATACTGTTGAAAGGGTGGTGAGGCTTAGCCTGCTGAGGTTGCTGTCCATCACTGCAGTGAATTCCAGCTCTCTAGGTAAGTCTAATGAAATTGGGGGAATTAGTCTGTCTTATCCAACCAGCAGAGCCCTATTCAGTTGGGTTTCTTTGTTTAGGTGGTGTTCTGCATCAGTCTGTGGTCCCATCAGTTGCCCTTCACCAGCCGGCTGTCTTGTGGGAGCCCAGCCCTGGCCACAGCCATCAGTCAAGGAAGGTGCTGGCTCCTCTCCCTGCTCCTCAACCAGGGTTGGACCCTCCCTGCAGCAAGAGATGGCTGGGATGAGGTGAGTGGTTTGTTTGCTCATGAGATGGCAGGACCCTTGTTCCTTGTTAAAGGCACCTGAGATAAGAGATGTCATTGATGTTTCAAGGTGTTCTTATCACAGGCTTTAGTCTGAAATGACACCGTTCATCCACGCTTTCTCTCCAGCTTATTGATGAAGAGAATTTTTTCCTGTTGTCTCCAGCCTCTGGAAAGCCCTTAGACAAAAGAATTTTTCAGACACATCATTTCCTTCTGTGAATCAAACTCTACCCCCTTAATGTTCAGCAAATAATTTGTTCCAAAGGGACCACGTTGTAGGTGATCGTAATTACATTTGGTTTTTAATAATCATAAACACTCCTGTTTTCTGAGGACCAGCAAAACTGATTTCCAAATCATTTAGTTTGAATGGCATGTTTTGTGTTTGTGTCGCATCTTCTCCCCCGTCCGCACTTCTAAAGGAAAACAAACAATGTATTAAAAAAGAAAAGAAAAGCAAGTGTGGGGAGGAAAAAAAACCTTGGAGAACTTTAAAAGACTCTGAACCTGAAAAGGGAGGGTGGGATCAGCTAATTTGTCCCTCTTTTGTATGGTTTATTAAGCCTTTTGTTCTGGAACGCATGGGTTCAGTGGGAAAGCGGTTTTTGATATATAATGTATTTACTTTTGCTAATTAATTAAAGCAGTATTCATATGAAAATGCCGACTGATAATGGCTTTCACAGCAACAACTGTGTTTTTTAAAGTAGCAACTTTTAATTACAAATTGACTGGCAGAAATATATAAACCCAAATATTGTTCCACTGATTTCCTTTTAACTGTGTTACTCTTGCTTGATTTATCGGATTAGGGCTTTTCACACATAGTGCGTACAAGATATTGTTTTTAATGAGAAATTAAAAGATTACCAACAATACCCATAAACCATTAAAAACACGAACTCCAGATGAATGGTAATTAGACAGAATGATTTGAGGCTGATAAATTGAAAGCAATTAATGTGTTTGTTTGGGATTCTGAAGATAGCTCTGAGTGTTCCAGCAGGCACTGAAGGGTTCAGATTTGGTGCTGAAATGCATGTGGGGATACTTGCACTGCTTCAAATGTCCAGGGCACCAGTGGAGAAGATGCTGACAGGGTTCCGCTGGGCTTTGGGAAGGGGGAGAGGTGAGGAGTGATGTGAAGGGGTTTTATGGGGAGGGCTAAAGGGGTACATCAGACCAGGCTTCCTTGGGTCAAATCTTTCCTATGTTTCACTGCTACCTGTGACATAACGTAAGGGAAGACTTGAGGAGGTAATAGGGGAGAAAGTGCTGAGGAGAAGTAAAGGTTTCTCATCTGTAGTTTATCAGGTTTGTATCTTCTGCTCAGTTTGAGCAGCACCGCGTCAGTGAGCCTGTGTGAAATGTTCTTTTCTGGGAGATGAGGAGGTTGCATTTGTTAGTGGTGCCCTGTAAGCCCATCAAGAGTGTCCGGTTTCTATTCTTTCTCTTATCCTTGGCAAAGCGAATGTTTTGGGATTCTATTTCAGCAAAAGGAAGTATTCTCGGGTGGTGATGCCTTTTGATATTGTTCCTTGTGCTTGGGTCTAGAACAGAGCTCGCCATGATTTCCCATCTCAGGAGAGTTTCCTAGGACAAGGAAAATAGCCAAAATCAAGTAATTCCCTAACTCAGGGTAGTGATGTCTCGTCTCAAAAATCCTAAACCAAATAGCCCTCCCCACCCCAAACCCTAAAGCCTCAGGTGACTTGTGATGGAACAACTGAAACATCCCTTTTCAATTGTTACTGGTTTTAATTTCAACTCCTGTCCAAGTATAAATTAAACAAAATATGGCAATGAGGAGTCGTGACAAAGGAAAACCTGAAACCTTTTCCCCGTTTCCCCCCACGTCAGGAATATCCATCAGAATCAGCCCTTTCTCACCCAGTTTTTCTTGTGATAATTTGGCATTTCTGATGGGGGGGGTTGGGGTATTTTTAATGAAGAAAAAAATCTTGACATGGAATTCTGCACGTGGAGCTCCCTTCTCCTCCATTGGTTTCTCTCTCTATTCCAATCCCTCCTTTAGATGTGTTCCTTCCATGAGTCTTTTCAATTCTTATCCACTGTAGAAAGAAATGCATTATTTAACAAGGCAAGAGAACAGTGTGTGCCCTTCACGTTTAACCATCAGCTGCTGGCATCTTTGAGGAACCAGGTTTTCAAAGGAGCTCAAGTTCTTAAAAGCACTTAACAGAGTGGATGCTGGTGGTGCCCAGTTCTACTGAAACCCTGGTCCTCATGTTCCTAGTAGGAACAGTTGGACTGAACCAGATATTTTTTTCAGGCTTTCCCTTGAAAACTGATGTTCTCTATGGAAACTCTGTGGCTTGTCAGACTTGGGTCCCAATTCTTTCACTCGACTGTCTTTCAAGCATGCTTATCTTGTCCTGTGGGTGCTCTGAAGCTTACATTTACAGGAGCCCTGTTTTCTGTCCCTGTGGCTCCATCCCTGCACAGCACACTGTGACCCTCACGGGGTGATCTGTTAGAGCTCTCCCTCATCCTACTCCTCCAGCCATGGTTGGTTGCAGGGAAAGTCTGTGTTAGCAAAGTGTATCTTGCTTCTAGAGATGACCTGGACAAGGTGCCACTTCACCAAGGGGAACACCTGCTGATTGTTGCCCCCACTGTGAAGTAACGACTTGGGCATCTCATAAAGTGTTTTTCACTCCTTGTGCACCCGTTCAGCCATCACATTAACAAAAAAAAGGTTCTTGGAGGAGCCACCAGGGACCTATTGCAAAAGTTGGATGCCAGTAAAATCCAGTTGTGTGTAGAAAAGGGAAAAGCCCAATAAGGAAACAGTAATAGAAGAGCTCTATTAAAAAGGCATATGGGTACAATGCTGCTGGCCCAGTTAATGAACCTGTTCTATTCAGTAGTGCAATAAAATCCAAAGTAATTGCAAATGAAACTTAATGCCTTGTAAAGAGTTCAGCTCCATCCTTCCATAGCCACAGGTCCTGGCAACAGAGGCTGGTCCAGCAGGAGGGGGGGTGCTGAGGAACCTCTCATTGATTCTGCTCAGTGGTTTAAGGCTGTTGGAAATGTCCTGGCCCCTTTAGCGAGCCCAGCCTCTTGCAGGAGGATGTGGACCAGGGCAGCACATGGGGAATTAGACCTCGACCCTGTGCCTGTGGGATCCTGCACATTCTGGTCTTCCCTGAAGGAGTTGCTTCAGACTGATCAGACCTGGAAGCTGATGAGGTGATGGTTGCTCTTTTCCTGTGTTCTCAAATCCCTGTGTTTCACCATCATTCTGACTAGTGGTGGGCTCAAAAACCCTGCAAGAGCAAGGCAGAGGAGTCCTCCTAACCTTGCTTGTGTGTGTATTCCTGCTGGGCTTTGGTCCTGACTTTTTACAGTATGTGATTCCTGCCTGCTCCAAGCAACCTCCATTTGTCTGGGGAAAATAGGCTGATGATTTTGCTCCCTATTGCAGATTTTGGATAACAGTTTCCTCAAGTCGCAGAGCTCTCTCTGATTGTCTTTACTCAGCTCTCAAGTCAAACATCCTTTATGCGAATAAGAAGTATGTAGGAGGGAGGATTTGCAGCACCAGCATTTTCGGGTGAGGATAGTGATATTTTTTGGTTGTTTAGTGCCAGTCTTTGGGAATGAAATAGCTGCTGAAGAATCTGAGCTTCATTTCAAAGGCATGTTTCTAGTCTTCATGTCTGTGTGGACTCCACCCCCCGTGTAATTTGAAAGTGTGACTTGGTTATGCCTGAAAGGCTCCGGATCCAGAAGGCAGAGGAAAAATAACCCAAAGCTGATTGTTATTAAAAACAAAGAGCACCACCCCCTCCCAAGCTGCTGGTATTTGAATTCCTGGGTTTGCATTGCTGGTTTAGGGCCAAGGGAACAGGAGGCAGGTAGGAGCCTGACTCACGTTGAGTCGGAAGCAAGAACCTGGCAGTTTGCTTGCAAATGGCCCGAGCCTGGTGATCCTGGTGAACAAGCACCCACAAAAAAGGGGTGAGCAAGGACAGGGTGAGTGCCAGGGAAGGGAATGCCAGCCCATAGAGAGAGTCCTTCCTGCTACCACCCACCCACCAACCTCATTTTTCAGGAGGTAAGTATCAGTCCTGCAAAGGGTGATATCCCCTCCTGCTCCTCCTTTACTAATCAGGTTTTCAGATAATTTGCAATGCTTCGTTTCCCCATGTGAATTGACTATAGGTGGTAGATAAAGCTGCAAATGGCCCTTTTTAAGTTCAAATGATGGTTCAAGCCGTACATTCCTCAGTTAAAAATGTGCAGCGTCCTCCTTTCCTGGCATGTGCTGGCAGAAGTCATGGGGTGTACTCTGAGAAATAGCCCCCGCTTGCTTTATTGTTGTTCTTTCCTTCCTCTGATGGCGTGAGTCAGGGGCACTGTCAGCCTTTGAGCTCACAGCATCTCCCTTTCGGCAGCCAGCCTGCCTGCCCGGGACATTGTTTGAGCTGTGCCATGCTGTAGGGTTCATCTTGATGCTCTGAGGTGGACAATAAAGGGGCAAATTTCTGAAATCCTAGTGGGATTTCTAGGGGAACTTCCTTCCCCCTTTCTCCCCTTGAGAGGAAGCAGCCTCCTGCACACTCACCAGCCCACTGCTCTTCTGACAGGGTTAGGGCTGGCGCCCTTTATGAGCTTCCTGCATATCCATAGGTTGGACTTGGCTTCTCTCAAGGTTCTTGTTGAAATTGGTCCAACGCTTTATCCTCGCATCCGCTGCGCACATGAATTCCTTAGTGTCATAAGTTGGTTAAGATCCATGCGAGCCGTGGCACCTCTCTGTCTTTGCCCCTTTCCCCACCCCTGTGAAAAATGTGTGGTGGTGTAAATAGAGGCAAAGGCAAATATATACAAGGTGGGGAGCCTTAGTGATGTGGAACTGAGAGATGAGGGCAGCAGAAACATAGCCTGTGGAAGCCTAGTATGGTTTTTGATACTGAAATGCAAGACTGGCCCTTAAAGCTGGATGTGAAG